TAGCCACATGCACATGCTCAGTTTAGTGTGTATTACTAGAAAGGTTTTTTTTTTCTTGGGAGAGTGCATGTGATCAGCACAGGGCCAATCAGCACTGTCCAGACAGAGGGTCAAGGGTTTTGCATCCTCCTAAAGCAGAAATAAAACTCCTCCTACAAGCTTTAACCAGTGCTCTGCTGAAGTCACAAGACTGCTCTAACTGCTGATGAGGAAAGGTATTTAGCAGTTTATATTTACTAAAATAATTGCACTTCCATGTACTGTGCACTGTGGGAGACCAGATATAGTGAATGCAGGGTCCTGGGTTTAGTAACGTTTAAAAAGGTACTATATTTACAGTTTTTCAAATGTAGTGATAGCTGATTCATAATGTTAATGCTTTTACACACACAACACATATGTCAAAGCTACTTTGCTCTCTTCTTCTATCAGTATGTTCCTCATTGGCATTTGCATTGCAAGAGGCTAACAAGGTAAATTAAGATGTTTATACTAGTTGCTTTAAAAAACACATTTAATGGTTTATTGATGTATATAAAACTGCAATAATGTGTTTTGTTTATATCTTCCTGGAGTGCATTTTTAAAGTAGTTTAAAAGAATAGGTAATCAGCCAAGTGATCAGACAGAGAGTAAGGCTGGCCATACATTATACAATTTTCCTTTAGATTTACCAAAACCATATAATATGAGGTCAAACCAAAACACTTTAAATTTGTATGCAATCACGCAGGCCTTTGCACTACATAGTTGAAGGTAAACGCAAAGGCAATTGAACAACAAGAAAATAGACCATACACGGGTTTAATTCCAAACAAATGTTCTCTTTTTTTTTCGAATTTAGCACCATCAGTGGGCTGCAGCATTGGCCAATTTTCGTGCAGACATCAAATTTGAGCGATTGGCATTGTGGAAATTTTTTTGAAAAATAAACTTATTTCTAATCAATGATGGGGGAATTGTGTTAGAAATATAATGGAAAAAGAAATGATCATGAGCTGTGACCTGGAAAGAAAAGAAGATTCCCAGACACAAAAATTATTTAGCAGCATGAAGGGAAATTGAAGGCTTGTTTGAATTTTGAAATCAATGTTGGCACCATCGGATTACAAAATGCACTTGAAGTTTAGAAAACAGGTGCAAAGTTAGAAGCAACAATGTGAAACAGGCTTGGGATGGCAAAGAGCAAGTGTACACTGCAGAATGTTAGGGCTCGTCACACTCGGCTGTTTTACCAACGCTTGCCAAACGCCCCTATAGCGTTTGGCAAGCGTTGGTCCGGCGTTTGCGGAGCGTTTTTTTAACTCTCAGCAAACGCTCCGCAAACACCGCATGTGCGGTTTAGCGGCAGTTGCTAGGCATTTGCCGAGCGTTAAAAACGCCCCACAAACACCTATAATGCAGTTTGAATGGTGTTACCGCTCCGCAAGTGCCCCGCAACCGCGTCGCAACTGCATCGCAAACGACGGCCGGGCGTTTGCGTAGTGGCACCATAGACTAGAATAGGAGGCTTCAATGCCTCCTGACTCGACCAGAGGCGTCCGTTTTGACACGACGCAACACGACGCAACGCAAACGCTCCCGTTAGAACAGCACCATGTGCTGTAATGTGCAGAATTGGCAGAGGTGTTTGGGAAGCGGTAAAAACGCTTCCCAAACACCTCTCTGCCACCTGCACACAACGCTAGTGTGAACGTAGCCTAAGAAACAGATAAAACAAGCTGCACAAACATTATCTCTTCAACCAATGTCTCTGTGGCTTAGTCAAGGTAGCATGGCCACATAGCATAGTCTCAGTAAGATTCTATAACAACAGAGGCTCTAGCTGAGAATCAGTTTGTAATACAAAGACTACCTGCCACTATTTTATAAACAGCATACCTCTTAGCAAAGTCCAGGGTAGCTCTGGTAACACAGGTGAATGGCTGGAGGTAAGAGCTCCCCACAGCTGGGTCTTCCATAGAAGCTGCATGCTTTTGGACTCCTGTCTATCTGCCCACACGCCAGTTCTGACAGTGGAGGGCCTTTGACTTGGCTACAGATCACTTGTCCAGCTACCTCTGCCTCATCAGGTGTGGCTTCTCTGAACAGCTTCCCTTCTCTGAGGGAAACTGAGAAACGTATTATCCCAGTGTGTGTGGTCAGGAACCTAAGGATTCATGGGAAATGTTAAAAGGGGCAGGCTCCTGCATCTGAGTATAATTAATGAGCACACCGCTAAAGTAGCAGCCACTTTACTTTTTGTAATTCACACAATTTAGAAACTGCATAGTCAGTTACTTTCTGGTTCAGTTTTTCAGCTACCTGCAAACCTGGTTATGATGCTAAACCGCCCTCTTATAACTAGGCAAAGAGCAGAGTGGCAACAATGAAAGAGCTAACCGGCTCATAATAGAAAATTGTTATCCTATATAACTATAACTGTATAAAGTAAAATTAAAAAAGAAGAAATAAAGATTTTTAACAGCAAAACTTACATTTAAAGGTATTTTATTATAGTTGCATTTCATAAAATAGAACTATCAGTACTGTAGCCCTGTGATGCAATGCATATACATTGGTAAGGTACACCAGGTTACCATTCTAAATGAAGGATTGTAAATGAAGAAAAAATCATCCAAGAGCCACTGGAAATTTGATGTGAGTTTACACAAAGTAGTTTGAGGAAAAAATATTTGAAGAGCTCACTGACTCAGATTTGGCTACTCACAACAGACAAGGCTACCCTCCAGTGGGCACCCTGCCAGGCTACCAGAAAAGAAAACAGCCAATTTGTTTCGAGGTCAGAAAAAACTCCCCCTTCATCAGAGATTCCGGTAAAATAAGAACATTGAATGAACTCAAAATAGAGCTTTCCTGTGTGCATCTGTGTAGGGATGCTGATTGCTGGATCAGGAAAGTTACTGGCCAGCAATATCTGCATGAACAATCAAGATAAGAACCAAATTCAAAATTAAGGGTTCTGCATCACACCAATGCATGTAACGTGCATTGTCCTGCATTGCACGCATTACTGAAACACAATAGTGTGAATCAGCCCTAAGTGATGCTGCAAAGACACTCAGCCTATAAGTCAGGAAAAACTCAGAAAAAGCTCAGAAGGGACTGACAGCTTCTGATCTACTCTGCTTTTAAGAGTGATGTACTGAGTTCTCAATTGCTAGACCAGCAATGTTGTAGCCCCTTTAAAATTATGGCAGCACTGACCTTCCTGGTGTGCCTAGCTGCATGTACATAGAGGCTGAAGCTGGAACTCATGCAGCTCAAAACTCCTGTTAGATACACTGAGGGCCTCTCACCCAGAATACAGTACTGACCCAAGAAGTAGACAATTACTTCAATTAGATCGGGTGTCAGGGTTCGACAAGTTTACTGACTTAGCATAAGTACTGATGACCAGTGGTGCCCCCCTGAGCAGGTGTCATCTTCAACTGTAACCATAAATTACCCTACTGTGAGTAACTGATGGCATCTTAGGAAATACTTTTTTTCTGATCTTAATGAGGTTTACAGTTCATAGCCCTGCAAACCTTTGCACAATTTTGAATTTTCTATTTAAAACTTTCTGAAAGAACTGCACAGATATTTCACATTCTAATAATATAATACATGAGCCTTAAAGGGTTACTCGAGTTTTGTAATACATAAATAAATAAATATCTTATTATAGCAGATACAATTGCAACACAAGTCAAATTGTAATTACATGTTAATAAAAATGACCTTTCCTTTTCAAACTGCAGAGCTGTGATTGTCATTTTCTGCTTGGGTGAGAAACTCTGCACTAAGAAACAAGTCATGTGTCAGGCATCCTCTGAAAAAAGAAAATGTGATTTTGGTGAGATACTCCCTAAGGGTTCATGACTTCTAAAAGCATGTAGACACTGCAACTCCCATTCAGAATCAGAATCCAAAAGACACTGTGGAACAAACAGTTATTTCTTCAGAGCAGAAACAGGTAGGAATCTGTAACAAATATGTTAAAAATGCCTGCAATGTACAGTGATCACCCAGAGGGAATTGTTTCTTTTTTTTGCCAAAAGTGAAATTACTCTTTACATTATGCACAGATAGGACAAGTTTTACATACATGCATACACTATATTGCCAAAAGTATTCAGACGCCTGCTTTTCCACACACATGAACTTTAACGTTATCCAAGTCTTAGTCCGTAGGGTTCAAAACTGAGTTGGCCCAGCTATGACAGCTTCAACTCTTCTGGGAAGGCTGTCCACAAGGTTTAGGAGTGTGTCTATGGGAATGTTTGACCATTCTTCCAAAAGCTCATTTGTGAGGTCAGTCACTGATGTGGGACGAGCGCAGACCTGGCTCGTAGTTTACGCTCGAATACATCCCAAAGAATGTTGTATTGGGTTGAGGTCAGGACTCTGTGCAGGCCAGTCAAGTTCCTCCACCCCAAACTTGCGCATCCATGTCTTTATGGGCCTTGCTTTGTGCACTGGTGTGCAGTCATGTTGGAACAGGAAGGGGCCATCCCCAAACTGTTCCCACAAAGTTGGGAGAATTAAATTGTCCAAAATGTCTTGGTTTGCTGACGCCTTAAGAGTTCCCTTTACTGGAACTAAGGGGCCAAGCCCAACCCCTAAAAGACAACCTTACACCATAATCCCCTCTCCACCAAACTTTATACTTGGCACAATGCAGTCAGGCAAGTACCGTTCTCCCGACAACCGCCAAACCCAGACACGTCCATTGGATTGCCAGACAGAGAAGTGTGATTCGTCACTCCAGAGAACACGTCTCCACTGCTCTAGAGTCCAGTGGCAGAGTGCTTTGCACCACTGTATCTGACACTTTGCATTGCACTTGGTGATGTAAGGCTTGGATGCAGCTGCTGGGCCATGGAAATCCATTCCATGAAGCTCTGTATGCACTGTTGTGCTAATCTGAAGGCCACATGAAGTGTGGAGGTCTTTAGTTATTGATTTTGCAGACAGTTGGCAACATCTGTGCACTTCAGCTTGCTCTGACCACGCTATGTCATTTTACGTGGCCTACCACATCGTGGCTGAGTTGCTGTTGTTCCCAGTTGTTTCCATTTTGTTAAAATACAACTAACAGTTGACCGTGGAATATTTAGTAGCAAGGAAATTTCAAAGATGGACTTATTGCACAGGTGGCAACCTATCACGGTACCACACTTTAATTCACTAAGCTCCTGAGAACACCCCAATCTTGCACAAATGTTTGTAGAAGCAGTCTGCATGCCTAGGTGCTTGATTTTGTACACCTGTGGCCATGAAGGTGATTGGAACACCTGAATCCAATGATTTGGAAGGGTGTCCCAATACTTTTGGCAATATAGTGTATATTTAAATGAGTGTATATTTAAATGTGTGAAGTGTGTAATAAGTCCATCATAGTGTTTCACCCTTCGCCATGGACTTTTTCCTTTTCTACTATCTTTTCTGCTTTTCTTTTCTACTGTTACGTTCTAATATCCAAGCCCCCACCCATTAGTTCTTTTGGTAAGAATTAAATGAACGGAATGTATTGCATTAACTATTTTCTTCAGGGAAGATAACCCGTAACAAATGAAAATGATGATGAAAAATGATGGTTTAATAAAAAACAGATAGAAGTATTCTAACATTTTCAATGTAATCATATTTAACTCTAAAAAAGGGCTAAAGTGACTTTGGCTTACAAAATATTTTTTAAACATTGTTAAATTTTAAAGTTAAAACATAGTAAGTAATCTCTCTACTCAACAATTGCACAGTTTTGCCCCTGTTCAAACATTATGCTTCTTCCTTTTCATATGCTGATCTTCCCTGAACACATTTGTAGCTCTTCCCAGGGTGTAAGTGACTGCACACAAAAGGATGTCTGACAGTATACAAAGAGAAGATCAAACTTTTAAAAATCTGCTCTCAGCTTCACCCACCCATTCCATTTTTTGAGGCTGAAGCACTTTGAACTTGGCACATATATCTGTAAAGATAAATAACAAGTGTAACATACTTTCCATCTTTAAACCCAGATAAACCAGCTTTGGCTTGCGATATAACAAGGCTAACTCTAAGGCAGTTATATTCTGTTTTTATTCATTTTATTTAAAAATATATATATAGTAAAAGTTTTGCTCCTACATATAAATACCAAAAACTGATAGAAAAAGAAAGTGTCATATTGGTCCATTGAATTTGTCCTTTTTCAATCTTTTGAATGTTTATACCAAGCATGTTTAAATGAACTTGCTTTCAACTCACTACCTTTTTTTAGTTGAGCTTTACTAACTTATTGAAAAAAGAGCAACACACTGGTCTGTGAGTGTAAGAACATTTTCACTTAAAGTGCATGTTACAACCAGGGGTGGACTGACCATTTGGGAACTCGGGCACTGCCCGGGGTCAGTAGGGGGCCCCATGAGATGCCCCTGTACCTTTTTCATAGGCTTTTTCAAGTTTGGGCAAGGACACAGGGGCCCCATGATCCCCTATTGCCCGGGGGCCCCATGAGTTGTCAGTCCGCCCCTGGTTACAACAGTTCATATTCCTGATATGTGTCTGCTGTAGCATGTACGTGTATGAAAAAGTATCCTGTTTGCATTACTTCTTTGTGTGAAATGCTCGGTGATTCTTCCAGTCCCCCTGCATTCCTATTTCAAACTGACCACACTAGCCATGGAAGCACATTCATCCAAGAGTGGTCTGTTTGCTTCTTTGCATTCTACCTGGGATCCTATAATCTAATGGTCAGATATCTGCCTTCAGTTCTTCACTGGAAAGATCAATGTACTGCTGTTTATCTACCTCCTGCTGACATGCTCCCTTCAGACTCCACCTCATTCCACCCCAATCTCTCTCATTATTTTCTATATCCTGATTCCCCTCTACAGCTCACCAGTCACTATTGGCGGCAAATCCCAGCTGCAGCTTGCATGTGTTGGCCTTGGTGTTATTTGTAAAATGACACTTACAGATTGTTCAGAATCTTCATACAATGAACTGTGTGAATGTTCCTTTCAGATATCAGTCATGTGCAGATTAAATAAATAAACAGGAATTTGCTTTTCCTGGATAATTTATTGTCAGTCACATAGTTACATAGAAAGTATATAGTTACGTAGTTAGTCTGACTGAAAAAAAAAAAGTCCATCCAGTTCAACCATTAAAAAAAAAAAAGTTATAATCATATACCCACAGTTGATCCAGAGGAAGGCAAAAAAACCCAGCAAAGCACGATCCAATTTCCTCCTGCTGGGAAAAACATTCCTTCCTGATCCCCAGAGAGGCAATTGGTTATTCCCTGGATCAACTTTACCTATAAATGGTAATTATGTGTAATCTGTCTATTGAGGTTTCAGAACATACAGGTAGAAAACAGTATTCAATACAATACAACTAAGTAAACAATGCAAGAGAACAGACAAGAAGATGCAGAAGTACAGTAGTATGGCACATTTTCATTAATTCCAAATATCACATTAGAATTATGAGAATGATATTTGTCAATTATTGTTACAGTTGTCAGTTATTGGACACTTTATTGTGTGAAAATTGTCGACTGCTTTGGTAAATCAACTTCAATGTCTGCAGGTTTCATTGAAAAATATATATTACATTGTATAAATATAATTCATATCTAGATCATAGGGATGACCGTTGATCTGTAAAAACATGTATTTAATGCAACTTTATAAGTTTAAAAAAATTTGTTTTCTAGAAATTTTTTTTACATTTATTTAACTTGCTACTAATTCTCCGGAAGATTTACCCCCCTTCATGACCAGGCCATTTTTTGCTATGTGGCACTGCACTGCTTTAAATGACAAATTGCTCGGACTTGCAACTCTATACCCAAAAAAATGTATATCTTTTTTCATACAAATAGAGCTTTCTTTTTATGATATTTGATCACCTCTGGGTTTTTTCTTTTTTATTACATTAAAAAAAATAGACCATCAAATTAAAAAAATACAATGGTAATGGGATTTCAACTGGCTGGGCTTCCTCGCTTTCCCCCCATGGCCTATTATGGTGTAAGGAGGGGCATGACCCTGTCCTGTCCGGAGGGGGGGATGAGGGACACATGCTACCCCCTCTTTTTTTTCTTCTCTTCGCTTATCTTGTCTGACATTCTTCCTTTATGCAATAAACCATTCTATGTGATACCCAAAATATTTTCCCCCCCCCCCTTCCTTCCCCCTTTTTGGTTTTCTTTTTTTCTTTTTTTTTTTTTTGTAACAACTAATGTACGTCACGACAGTATATCCGCGCTCATTTTCAAAAGTTATTTACAATCAATGATTCCAAGCCTTGGTCAACCGTGCATAGACGCAAGACACTAACGATATACTCACATTACCGCAAGGGCTCTGACCCTTCTGATGCCCCGTTTTTCCGCACACATGTCCTCCTCTTAGATCTCTAAGTTCTCTCATTGGGACCCCCCCCCCCCCGTCATTTCTTTGTGTTTGACTTTCATGTTATGTTATATGTCTGACACACCCTTTTGATACAGCTAAATGTTCTTATCAATCTGCCATTTTGATCTAACCCATGTTTATAATTATGATTCTGCTTTTCAATGCTCAATAAATCTTTTTTAGAAAAAAAAATATATATATTTTTTACTTTCTGCTATAAAACATATCCAATAAAAAGTAAAAAAAAATCAAAAATAAAATCTCTTAAATTTTGGACAAAATGTATTCTGCTACTTGTCTACAGGTAAAAAAAAATCCCGATAAGTGTATATTGATAGGATTGTGTGAAAGTTTCAGCGTCTGCAAACTATGGCATTTATACTGGAGTTTTTTTTATTTATTTATTTTTATACTAGTAATGGTGGCGATCAGTGACTTATAATGGCACTGTGACACTGCGACGGTCAATCTGACACTAACTGATACTGGGGGGAACTAACTAACTGCCACTGACATCACCAGTGCCATTAGTACAGTGATCAGTGCTAATAGTATGTCACTGTACTAATGACAATGGACAAGAAGTGGTTAACATCTAGGGCGATCAAGGGGTTAAATATGTGCCTAACACGTGTTTGTGTGTATACTGTGTGCTGCTTTTACTGCGGATCTTGTTATTTTAGGGAATGAAAAATCAACTAGATCGCCTACCAGTGAACACAGATCTGTGCTGTTTACACTGACAGAGTTGTGTTCTATGAGTCTCAGAGTCGATCGCGGGGTGCCAGCAGCCAATCACTGGCCAGCACCTGGTGATTAGCATGTGCTGTGACGAATCACAGTACAGACGGGTGGGTGCACGCCCCCTAACCAGAAATGCAACATTATGTTTATATATGTGATTCTGCGCAGAGCAGACGCCCTGTAGCAGGAAATTTATTAACCTTTAATCAGCTGTTATTATTTTATATCCCCCTTCCCCTCTTATTACCTTAGCTGCTATAGAGCTTTTTTCATCATTAACTTACTTTAAGAATTTCCGTTTATCAGATAAAATTTTCAAAAACCCTATCAGACAAAAATATTTACTGTCAATCAGGTAAATTTAAATTACCTGAAGCACAGATCTTGTCAACAGAAAATTTTCACCCACATATTTAAGTCTTTACTTAGCCCACACATTGAAAAATGTGTATATTGCTTTTTTAAACTCCTATTTGAATGAACAGATAATATACACTTGATTGCATGTTTATCAGTAGATGACATGGAGCGTAGTGAATATGTATAACTATAAAAGGTTTTCTATAGTGTATGCACCCATTTCAATCAGTAAAACAATTTGCAAAATCTGGGAACCCTTCCAGTGGATATATTCTAGACTGATTCACTCATGTTTTAAAGGTTTGCCTGAATTCACATTAAGCTCTTCCACAGCCAGAAATTGATAGATTGGTGATTTGAGGTTACTTGTGTGCGAACTGATTAGATCACAAGTAGAGAAAGTAATAACATTAATAACATTACCCTTAAGGGATGTGTAATAAAGAATAGACAGAGAAGAGAGTAAGGATGGGAGTAATTCATCTTAAATTAACACAAGCCCCACCTGAACCTGGATCACTCATCAGCTTGTATCAGTGGGATATACAAGTATATGATGCCTGAACATTAGGAGAATCTGCATGTTTATTCTTCCAAAACAAATTTTCAGTCTCCATATGGGATACAATCCAATAGTTGTGTTATTAACCTTCTCAAAGAATTTACAAACTCTGCCAGTTACTAAGTCTAGTTTTCATGGTCAAAAGAAATCTAATTCCAGGCATTTTTTTTCCTTTAAGGCATTTATAAGCTAACATAATCCTTATAAAAACGTGAAGAACATTTTTTTACTTGTAATGATGCCAGTAGGGGTGCAAAGTCAGTTTAAGAAAACCCTTTCACTGTTTTCTTTAGTTGCAATACTGATTATCAGCAGAACATATAAGAGGTTTAAAGTGGGACTTAACCCACTAAATTAACTATTTCTCAGACCAGTTACATTCAAGGCATGTCTCTGGTGTCACAGTTTCCAGTTTGCTCTTAACTCGTAACCAATCTTTCAAGCCCTCAAATTGCTGGTGTCATAGCTGATCACATGTGCAGCATCATGGCAAACACAGATCTAAACTAGGGGTTAGATGGCACTATCCTTGGCTGTAAAGAATAGGAGGTTGTAGTTTCTCTTTACATATGAGTTCTCAGGTCCAGATTCTTGCAGGGACTCTAATCCATGCATGAATACATCCTCTAAAAGAATTATTTATGACATTACTTATATATATTTTTTTAACTGAAATTGATGTAAAGTTGAAAGCATTCACAAGCACATGTTTGGGCATATTTGACAGTATCAGTCCATACATATAGGTACCATTAGATTTATATGTCAAGAGCTAAAAAAGCCCTGATATTGAGCCTGGCGTGTCTGTCTAGTCTTGCCCATCCAGGTCTTGGTGGTGGTGAAGTTAAATCTCGAAATCCACTGGTAGAGGTACAATAGGCTTCCTTTTCAAAAGAGGAGCCCATAGATACATTCTTAGCATGTCTAATGATCAATCTGGTGCTGGGTACACTCTAGCATGTTTGGGTATATGTGAAGACAGGGAAAATATAACAAAGTATTTCTTACAGCTAAATAATACTGTTATTATGTCATTATCTACAATTCAAATAGATTTGTTGTAGTAACATACAACTGTAACAAGTTAAAGTGGCTAAAATAAAGTTCAAGAGAGATACAATGTCTTTGCTGGAATTGACTTGGCTCTTTATGGAACCGCTATGTGTTAATAACCCCTGTTTACAGGTCTAAATAAATGCCACCTAATTACTACCTATCTTTTCAGGCTTCAGGCTATGAAAAGAAAGCAAAATATTTGTTAACTTAAGCCTAGTACACATAATGAGTAACTTGGACAACTGACTATCTGATTTTCCATGAAAGTGTGTGTATCATGATGGAGTCAGAATGGTATTGACTTGTAAGAAAATTCTGGGGCAACAAAGGCAAACGTAGCTATCTACAAGCAGAAGTGTAGGGTCGTTCTATGCTAATGAGTATGT